CGGCAGAGAAGGTAAGTTTTTTTTTTTTTTTTTTTTTTTTTTTTTTTCTGCGTCACAAATGGCATCTGTTTGGGGGTTTTGGTGGGTGCAGTTCATTGTGCTGGAAATCTGAAATAAAAGCTTCACAGCATGGCTTGCAAGATCTGAAACTTAGGCAACATTTTTGGAAGAGACCCGTTGACTGATTTTTGCTTCTGATAGAGGGTTTTCAATCAAAGCATCAGATTCTTAAGTTTTCTAAACTTGATTTTCGATTCTTCTAGCCCTGCTTTGCATTTCCACAAATTTACATCTTTCTGATCGCTTTGGCCTTCCCATTTACGTATGGACTCTTTCTGTCTCAGACCGCTACAGCTATCTCTACTGTGCCAACCCTTGATGTTCCCTTTTGCAGTTTTCATTCCAGGAAGAGAGTAGTGAAGGTATTTTCAAAAAAAGTAAGAGGGAAGTAAATGCAACAGAGCTGACTGGGTGCTGATTGCATAGGGAATCAAGTGGGAACTGTCTTGTTGGCAAAATCAAATTTAGCAATTATCAAGCCTCCAAAATCACCAAATGTTAATTTACCCAAAGTCTGCACTTTGTACTTTCTATGATGTGAGTGCAACATGAGAGAAGCTCCAAATTCCTTGTTTTTAGTGAAGTTTTATTACTTGTCAATATGAAAGGCGGTAAGAAATTGTCATCACACCACTAGGATCATACAGCACGGAAACAGACCCTTCAGTCCAATTCATCCATGCTGACCAGACATCGCAATCGGACCTAGTTCCATTTTCCAGCTTTTGGCCCATATCCCCCTCAACCCTTCTATTCCTGAACCTATCCAGATGCCTTTTAAATGCTGTAATTGTACTTGCCTCCACTTCCTCTGGCAGCATGTTCCAGACATGCACCACCCTCTGTGTGGAAAAAGTTACCCCTCAGGTCCCTTTTAAATCTTTCCCCTCTCATCTTAAACCTGTGTTCTCTACTTTTGGACTCCCCTTCCCTAGGAAAAAGACCTTGGCTATCCACCCTAACCATGCCCATCATGATTTTATAAACCTCCACAAGGTCACCCCTCAGTCTCTGATGCTCCAGTGATAAAAGCCCCAGTCTATTCAGCTATCCCTCTAGCTCAAACTGTCCAGTCTGAGCAACATCCTTGTAAATCTTTTCTGCACCCTCAAGTTTAATGATATCCTTACTATAGCAGGGAGACCAGAATTGTATCCAGTATCCCAGAAGTAGCCTCCCCAATGTCCTGTACAGCCTCAACATGACATCCCAACTCTGATGCTCAAAGTTATGACTTATGAAGGCAAGCATGCCAAACGCTGCCTTCACGACCCTGTCTACCTGTAACTCCACTTTCAAAGACCTGCGTACCTGCACCTCCTAGTGTTTGTTCAGCAACACTCCCCAAGGTCCTATATACAAGTCCTGAATACAACACCTCACATTTATCAAAATTAAACTCCATCTGCTGCTCCTTGTCCCACTGGCCTGTCTGATCACGGTTCCATTGTACTCTGAAATAACCACCTTCCCTGCCCACTACGCCACCTATTTTGCTATCGCCTGCAAACTTACTGAACATTTCTCCTATATTTGCATCCAAATCATGTATATATAACATGTATTTTATATATTACTTCTTGTGGCATACCACAAGTCACAAACCTCCAAACTGAAAAATATCCCTATGTTGCAGAAAGTTTTGGCGTATATTTGCAACTGAAATAGATAAAAGAATTGTAGAGTTCTGAGAATGAATTTGAATTTGTCCATGTTGATACAGTTCAGGGGTCTGGTTGTTGATACTCTGAAGGGACAGGAATCTCTGGTTCTGTGATCCACTTGAAGAAATTCTACAACACAGGAGGACATAGTTTTAAACATATTTTCTTTGTGGTTCTGACACAAACTTTGAATTTGTCATTGTTGACTTCTGTACAGTGCTTTTCATTTAAATTCTTTGCTTTGGTCTTTATTTCTGATCCTGGCAGAATGGCATATTTGAGGCAGTTTCATGGACCATTTTTTAAGAGCTGAGCACCAGATGCCAACTTGATGCTGGATTTTTCAGAAGGTGACTTCAAAATGGGTTACTGTACACTGGTTTATTCAGTTAACTTGGCCATTATACACAACAGGGAAACTAGAGAGTTGTAGTGGGAATTGAGTTCATGCCATTGATTTGTGGTTTTCTGTAGTAACTTTTAAGCTTAGTACATTGAATTTGAATGTAAAACCTTTTAGAGCACAAAGAAGAAAAGTAGCTACTGTGTAGACATCCACCTGTTCGACTAATCATGTACTAGATGTTGGTTTTAAATACTGAACCTGAGGGCGGTGGGGTGCGGTTCAAAAACAGTTTCAGCAAGCTGCACTGTAACAATGCAAAAGCATATGTGATTCTGTGCCAATTGTCAGACTTCAAATCCGTGCATCCTTTTCACACCTATGCCATTCATTAACTGATGCTTGTCGCGGTAGATGAAAACTAAAATTTGTGTAACAACTAGGATAATTGATTGTTGGTAATGAGTAACAAAGGATTTATTAAATTAAGTGATGTTTATCAGCATCAGGAGAGCTCCTGAGTTCTAATTATTACATTAAACTTGCCACCATATGATGTATTATCATCAAAATGTACAGTGTGAGCCACTTGTAGTAGATTTATCTATGCCAATTTGATTTATGTAAAATGTCTCCTACCCAGAACAAATCAGTCCATGGTGTGTGGAGGTAGCATACCAGCATTGTGTCCTGTCTGTGTAATTGTGAAATAAAGAAGACTATTCGATGAAATATGGGACTTCCTGCACAATACATGTTTAAAACAAACCAGTGTTGGAAAACTGCCTTTCTAGACCTGAGACTCATGTCTATTCTGACACACAAATGTCATATACCAACAATATGCATTTCTGACCCATTCATTTGGTTCAGGTGGACTCCATTTGTCCATAATACTTGTTTAAATTCAATCTTTGCTGTAAATGGAACATACTGTTGGAGAGAAAATTATACTTGCATTGATGTAGCACTTCTCAGGATGATTCGGTGCTTCACGGGCAGTGAGGGAAGAGTCACTTCTGTAATCTTTAAATTTGTCTGATTTATGTGCAGGCAAAGTTTCACCAAAAATAGCGTTGGTTAGTGACGTTGGTTGAGAGATAAATATTTGACAGGACTTTAATATGAGCCCACCTGCTTTTCATCAGAATAGTGCTGTGCAATCCTCTCCATCCAGTCAAGGTATTGAACTGAGCCTCCGTTTATTGTCTCATTCATCAGCATAAGTAAAATAGGTTTGGATGGACTACTGTTCGCCCAGTGGGGGCTGCAGCTTCGGAGTGGAGAAATGATTAGTCGTTCATTATAGGTGTTTTCTGTCCTCTGAATAATGGAATTCATAAGTGTTTTTTTTTCTTTCCAGCTGGGGTTTCAGTCAGTCGAGTTCACTTCCCACAGCCGGCTCTGTGGTTGGCGGACTAGGCAGGCGAGGCCAACGGCCATTTCAGGTGCCTCCACGGGGTCTGTCTGCAAACCGGATGGGTCTGATTGGTACTTCAGCTGCTAGTCTGGGTGGTGTTTCTCCAAGGCATACGCTTAATCCATTGACAAGTCAAGGCAGGCAGGTTAGTAAAGTTCTGTGTTGAGGAAAATGGCTATGTCACACTATATTGCAATTTAAATTGTTTGTTGGTGGGAATCAGAAATGCTGATGTTCTATTCACCAGCTCTGACTTCTGATAATGAGTGCAAACTTTTAAAGTGTCTAAATATAAATGATAGTCCGAATTCAGTGGTCTGCCATTTCTAAAGAAAAATGGTGAATGCAGCAGTTGTTGGAGTATGTTTTGATATTATTTCTCAACCACAATTCTTTTACCAGCACCTCAGTCATAATGCGTTAATTGTTCCTCCATTTGCCTGATTAGGTCCAAACCATGTGATGGACAAAATACAGTAATGTTTTCTTATGCACGTATCAGTAAGTCAAGGAAAGAAAATCATATTCATTTCCTTCTGTTAGTGTTCAGTGTCCTTGAAGGAAAAAGCGAATCTCTAGAAAATAAGCACTGCTGTTTTAAAAAAAAAAAAAAGTGAAACCAAAATTTGAAAATGCTGTATTGCTGATGAGAGCTGGGAATGTGAATTTAAGTAACATGTTTAATGACTTGTATGTTCAATGTTGCCCTTCTTTGTTCAGCCAATATACACCTGTTGTCTGTAACTCTTTGCCCAGTTTCATTCAACATTTTGGCATCTTGCGTTTCACACCTGCTTGCTGTCACAATTTTATCCTCCAAATGCAGATGAACCCAAAAAAGTGAGGGTTGTTACTTTAGCTTTTCATGCTTTGAACTGTGCTTTATAGTGACCCAAAGGTGTGTGAACCTGTGACTTATTGCCATGAAATTGGTTTTTGGTATCTTCCACTGTGCCTCCTTGGGGTGAAATTTGGGAAGTTTAAAAATTTTAAAAACTGAGACTTGCATCACATCTGTCTTTAGAATGTGGATGCAAGTATAGCTACATAGAAAATAGAAGCAGGAGTAAGCCGTTTATCCTTTGAGCGTATTCTGATATTCAATATCGTTATGACTAATCATCCAGCTCACTATCCTGTTCCTGCTTTCTTCCCATGTCCTTTTAATGCCTTTAGTCCTAAGAACTATATCTCCTTGAAAACATTCAATGTTTTTGACCTCTGCTGCTTTTATGGCAGAGATTCCAAAGGCTCACCACTCTGAGTTAAGACCTTTCTCCTTATCTCAGTCTTAAATGGCTTACCTTAGACTGTGATATTACATTTAGTTCCCTCCTCTAAATCATTTAGTATGTAATATGAACTACTGGAATCTATACTTGGACCCCAGCTGTTCACAGTACGTATTAATGATTTAGCCAGGGTCCAAGCATTGATCCCAGCAGTATTCCATTATTTGTTGCCTGCCACATTCTAAAGACTTGCTTATTCCTATTCATTTCCTGTCTGCCCACCAGTTCTCTGTCCATGTCAGTACACCACCCCCTAACCCATGTGCTTTCATTTTACATACTAATCTCTCCCCCTTGTATCAGCTCTGTCAGTGGAATCCTCAAAAAATTCGTCAAGCAAGATTACCCTTTCATAAATCCATTCTAATTATGTCCGATCCTGCCTCCATTTTCCAAGGGCAATGCTATTAAATCTTCTAAGGGCAGTGCAGTGAGTGAAAAGTCAAATCCAGCTCTGGCATAACTTCTCATTGTTTAGGAGTGAAGACATCACTGGCAAAGCCAGAATTTATTGTCCACACCTGTGCAACTGAGCAGCTTTTTTGGCCTTATTTCAAAGAATGGGTGAGAGTTTAACCCACGTGGCTGTTGATCTGAGCCTTGCAGGCCTGACTGGGTAATAGGTTTCCTTTTGGAAAAAGCATTCAGAAATTAAGTGGGTTTTTACAAAAGTTTCATTGCCCCATTTCAGATTTATTTAGTCAACCAAATTTAAATTTTCTAGCTGCCTTGTTAGCATTTGAACTTGTCTCCAAGTCATTAGTCCAGTGATATAACAGTACTTGAATACCACATCCTCGCACAATAGGTCTGTCTGTTCTTAAGTGATCTGCTTTGATCACTGTTCAGAAAACCCTCCTGAATTTTCTTCCTGTTCTGAGGGTTATGTGACTTTGGAACTCTCCGCCTCGGTGGAGGTAGTGTCATTGAATATTTTTACAGCGGAGATAACCTTAAATTCTCGTCATTGGAAACACTAGAAAAGCCAAGATCTTGAGGCAGAGCAAGCTCAAGGGACCAGTTGGCCTACTTCTGTTCCTAGTTCATGTATTCATAAATGTGGACATTGGCCAAGGAAGAATCAGGATCAGTTTTCTGTCAAGAACAACTATCTCATCTTGCATTGGAAATTTGTTGCTTGAGTGAAGTAACAAAGAGCTGACATTGCAGGTGGAACTATAATCCAGCCAGTAGCACCTTCAGCAAAGAGGGATGAGGTAATAATCACCAAGTTCTTATTAACAATTCGGTTATTAACAATTCAATTATTGTGATTGTTTGAGGATGTTAGAAAGAAAATGGGCTTTGGTGTGTCTTGACTAGTAATTTTTTCTATTCCTATTACTAAAATGAGGAAAATTAGATCAAGATATCACCTTCCAGGTACTGCATTGTTTTTCTCTATTCCTGCAGAACCTATGGTTTGCAAACCCAGGTGGCAGTAATAGCATGCCAAGTCAGAGTCGCAGTTCTGTGCAACGGACATACTCACTACCTGTGCATACCTCCCCACAGGCCATCCTGATGTTCCAGCAGCCAGGTTTGTCATGTTTTACCTCCAATTCCATCTTCAGAGTGGGATGTGTCACTGTAAATGTAATGAGATGCAGTTTGTTTGCCAGACAGGTTTTATGAGCCTTCCCCTGCTGCACATTTCTGACTTAACCAATTGAAGTACCTGAAAGCAATTGTTGCTATTTTTAACAACAATTTGGAAGAAACTTAAGGATGTCTGAGAATTATTTTTAAACAGACCATTTGGTCATCCTTGGTCAGTTTAAATTGCAGAGAACTTACCTTTCCCATCCTGCCCTCAAGCATCATCATGTACAGTATAGTAAATGAATGTTTTGCACGCTGTGATACTGAGACACTCAAATCAAAGTCTCTGATCTGTGCTGAGAAAGTTCACCCTATAGAGGAAAATTTGCAGGGCTAAAGGGAATGGACTAATGGGATAGCTCTTTTAAAACTGAGTACAGGCATAATGGGCCAAATGGCTGCCTATGCTGTATTATTCTGTGATTCAAAGTTGAACTACTAGAATTGATCTTGAACCATAAACTTGATTATGGGGAAAAGTTTGGTAAGAGGAGAGAAGTTAATGATGGTTCCTGCTCATAATTATTGTCCACTTACTCCCATTGTCTACAGATGGATGAGAACATAATTAGTCTTCATGTGGTGTCCTGTGTTATCAAGGGGTTTGCTAATGCTGTTCACATTCTCAGGCACGGGGCAAAGTTTGGCTCCTACTTCAGGAGTGTGCTGGGAGGTCTGGAATTGAATGCTGCTCCCACCCCCCTCCAAAACCCAACCAGTCACTTAAAGATAACAGTGTGGAGCTAGAGGAACACAGCAGGCCTGGCAGCATCAGAGGAGCAGGAAAGCTGACGTTTTGGTTCTGGACCCCGACCTGAAACGTCAACTTTCCTGCTCCTCTGCCAGCCTGCTGTGTTCCTCCAGCTCCACACTGTTATCTCAGACTCCAGCATCGGCAGTTCTTACTATCTCTCAGTCACTTAAAGGCTTTATACCAATTGTAGGGGAGCTTGTGTACTACGTAGGGAGGCCACCCACTAAAGGTGGGTGTCGGAAGACCTGATAGTAAAGCAGATCCAGTTTTCCAGCTGCTAGGTGGGGGGTGGGTGCTATCACTGCGGCCATTATACCCAGCTCAAGAAATGAATATTCAAGTGCTGAAAATGCCTGTGACAGCAAATTTTGTTGTCTTTTGGAGAAAGTGGAGAAACTAGGAAATGCAGAAGAAACTGCACTGAAAGAAAGGCTTTGCATTCTGTTACATGACTAAATAGAAATTTTACTGAAGCTTTCTGATGTTTTTCCAGAATGCCAAGTGCCAGTAACAGAACCAGAGATTAATACCAGACTGGAATCTCTGTGTCTCAGTATGACCGAGCACGCGTTAGGAGGTAAGTGATGGGTGTCAGTGGGAATTCAAGTACTAGCTATACCTGTCTTTTTGTGGTTATGTGGAACGTTCCTTGTTTCAGTCCTAATCAACATAGTTTCTTAAAATTATCAATGTACAGGAGGCAGTAGTGTCAGTGTCATTTCTGGCTCTTACCCTGAATTGGAACATTTAATCAATTATCATTCCAATTTCATTTCCTTCACATGGTCCATCACCAACTTTTCCTTCCCTTTCTTGACTCTATGCCTCCTTTTCTGGGAAAGCGCTGTCACCAAATATGCACAATATACAATGACTCCCACCATTGGCTCAACTGCAGTTCCTTGCACTTGGTTTCCTGTTGGGACTGCCAGTTTCTATAGTACTTCTGATGTGCATTCCTTTGTCCTCAAGGATTTCCTTCCTCTCACTGTGCTAGGTAGGGTTTTTAACTGGGTCCATCCCATTCTCCAATATATGCTTTCATCTCTTCAGTTCTCACAATAGTACCCTTTGTCCTTTCCTTCCATCCTGCCAACCTCTGTATTCAATAGATCTTCCTCTTCAAATTTTGGCTGCTGCCACCAAGTGCATCTCCTCCATCCCCTCTGCCACCACCTGTGTGATGCCACCATCAAACATATCTCCTGTCCTATCCTTTCAACATTCTGAGGTGGCCTCTCACTCTGTAACACCCTGCTCCATTCCTCCATTCACTCCCACCCTCTCGACGTGCTACCTTTTCTTTTCAACCACCCACCACTCAAGGCCCCAAACACACTTTCCAGATGAAACAATAATATGTGTACTTTCGCTTTATACTATACACATCGCGTTCAACGTGTTCGGTCTGTAGCGAAGAGATGGAATGCAGATTCCTTCTGTTCACACCACAGGCATAAACCTGAGCTTGGGTCTCGTGTCTTTTCAGTTCTTGTCTTTGCCCTCACGCTGACCTTCCCATCCCCTATCTCCTGCAGTTTAACAGTGAAGCTCAATAGCAGCTTATCTTGCAAAGATGCTTTACTAACTTCCTGACTCAACATCAAAAAATTTCAGGCTATGACCTCTACCGTCCCTTCTTCCCCCAGCACCAAAAGAAACATTGTTTTTGCAGCTTTTTTTCTGGTTCTAACTTTATTTTTCTTTTGCTTTTAGATGACAGCTCTTCATCTGCCATTCACACCTCTTCTAGAATTGTCTTTTTTCTCTTTGTTCATGCACCACCAATCCTGTTTTCGCCTTTTTTTTAAATTCACTTGTGGGATGTGGGTATCATTGGCGGCCAGCATTTATTGCCTGAGCCTAGCCACCTTTGAACTGAGTGGCTTGCTAGGTCATTAAGGAGGGCGGTTGACACTCAACCACATTGCTGAAGGTTTAGAGTCACGTGTGGGCCAGACCAGGTGAGGAAGGCAGGTTTCCTTCACTGAAGGACATTTGTGAGCCAGATGGGTTCTTCTGCCAGTCAGGAATGGTTTCATGGTCATCCATAAATTTCTTAATTCCAGATTATTTTTAATTGAACAAAAACAAAGTAGATGGAAAAGCTCAGCAGGTCTGGCAGCATCTGTGGAGGAGAAAACAGAGTTAACGTTTCGGGTCCGGTGACCCTTCCTCAGAACCCTTCTTTTCTCCTCCACAGATGCTGCCAGACCTGCTGAGCTTTTCCAGCAACTTTGTTTTTGTTCCTGATTTACAGCATCCGCAGATCTTTTGGTTTTTATTTTTAATTGAACCCGGGTTCCTAGAACATTAGCTGAGTTTCTGGTTAATAGTCTAGCAATAATACCACTAGGCTATCGACTCCCCATTTCCATTTCCTCCCTTTCCATTTAATCTCTCCTATCTCCCAACCCAGCACAAACATACTCATTTGTACTTTTTCTGTCTCTCCTTCCTTTCACTTGATTAAAATCTATTAAATTTTCACCTTTTTCCAATCCTGATAACTTATCAACCTGAAACATTATTTCTGTCTGAACACAGTGCAGCTGAGTAACTGCAGCATTTTGTTTTTAACGATCTTGATCAGTGTTTGACTCCAGACCTGGTTCACAGTCCGTCAGGAGCCAAATGTAAAGAGATGTATTTGTGATGGTTGCCGTGCTATTCAGACCCAATAATTTGTGCCACAGCAACAGTGAATGTAGTGAGTCACCTGTAAAGGGTCACTGTCCTTTTTTAAATTTTTTCACATTCTGTTTATCTTTATTAGAAATATGATTTTACCTTAGTCATAAAATAGATTAATAAATATTTATCTCCTGATTGTATGAAACTTTATTATGAATATAATACTTGCATGCTTTGTTCAGTCATAATTCAAGCTGTCAGTTGTCAGTTAAGACTTTTCTTTTTGAGAATTATATTAAAGAGCCAGACATCAAGATTGTAAAGGGTGGTGTGGAGGATATTGTTCACTAACCGGGAAATGAAGGGGTAAAATGTTGTAAGGTCAAGGACGGACCAAGGAACATAAATTTCACAAGAGTTTTGTTATGGGAAGTGGTATAGTGAGCCTTGATTTCAACACATTCGGAATCCAAGATGATTAAATATGCCACCCAACACATTTAATGTGCAACAGGAAGAATGAAATTAAGAGGACCTAATAGCAATATCCTTGGCCAATGCTTAACTGAAACAATTGTTTTTTTTTTATTTTGACAGATGGAGTGGACAAGACATCAACTATTTAGTACGCTGTACTTAGCTTGTGAACACTTAATGAGAGACTGACATTACACAGCAGCTGCAGGAAATGCCACTGAAGTTTTGAGGGTCACTACACCTTACAATGTATATCTTCGCTGATCTTTATTTAACCTTCGGGGAAATAGACCGATATCCAAACTACTTCCGGTCCATTTTCCAGTATATTTTTGTTTTAAAGTTTTTTTTTTTTCAGTACCCAACTGGTAAAAGGTTCTGAACCGGTACAAATAAATCATATAGCTCAAATTTTAATTTAAATAAAACTGGGAATTAAAATGAAATTAGTGATTGACAGTGTAAGGTGGTGAGCAGCGCTCATGACAGAAAGAGAGGAGACGGGAACTCTCGGTTGATATTACAATGTCTTAACAGAAACCTGTACATGCTGTGCTGTCATGCAGGTCTGGTACCCAGTGTGGACAGTATAGGCAGTAGTACAGGTCTGGCTGTTGCATCTGTCTATCACTAATTTAACCTAAAGCCTCTGGTCAACTGTCAGTAATGCATACAACTTAACCATTAAAAGTTTTAGAATATGTAAAAGAGGTGTTCTGTTCTGAAACCCACGTTACTTTTAAAAACAAAAATCATTATCCAATTTGCTCTAGCTGCCTTCAGTTAAGACGCTGCAAAGAGGATTAATCACTGTGGTGAACAAAATGAGGAAACAACTGACTTTTTTTTAACCTGGTGTTATGGTGTTGCTAACATTCACCTGCATATTTGTGCATGTATTGACAGCAGGAATAGATCTGTGAACAGGCTACTGCCTCGCACAGTTTTGACTAAATTCTCTCCCTCATCCCCTTGTTCTCCCTTCATGATTGACAGTGTTCAGTTTCATAACTTTTTTGATGCATTGCAGGAGGCGTATCACAATGAAGCCACCCTACGCCCACCCCTTTTTTAACTTATCAGGGTTCTTGAAGGAGCCTCAATGCCTCTCACTTAATAGGCTGTGGGTAATTTCATTTTTTGTTTGTTTTGGAATTTTATGGATACCAACTCAATATTTTGGGAATTTGGAGCAGTGTGATCTCGCTGACTTCCAGAAAACTGGCAACAGGCTGAAGAGTTTGAGGTGGCAGGAGGACTTCAAAGTGGCATTTGGCTCTTCCAGTGGGATTACTACTCTTGCATGGAGTTAGAAAAACTTGAAAGAAATAAAAGACCTTAAACGAGTCTTGATGAAGCAGCACCTGTGAGCAAACAGACTGTCTATCTGTCTAAACTACCCTGTAGGAGCTGGCATTTCCAGTGCTTGGCACACTTTTTAACTAAGGAAATGTTTTTGATATTGGATCCTGACTGTTAAAAGATTAGGTTCTGATTTCCCCAGCCCCTGAAAAAGGAACTGGAAATTGGCCCTTCCCTGAACCTCCTCCACTATAATGTCCACCTTCATCTCAGTAATCTTGTGAACCCAGACTAGAATATAGCAAAAAAAAAAAAAAATTTGGTCTGGTACCAGAACAGTTGAGGATCTTGCTGCAGAAATTCTGGGGTTAAACCTGTAACACACCGACTGTAGCAAACTCTGCTTGCAGTGTCTTAGGATGGAATTGAAAGTCTGACCTGATGCTTTATAGTGGTCGTGTCTAACACGAATTTTGCCATATTTGCTGGACAAGATTTGCCAGTGGGTTGCGGGGAGGGGCAGGGGAGAAGAGTGCATGAAACTAGCTTTGCTGGTGCACTCTAGTTTGATTTTTGATTAATGAAACAGCAGGTAAAGACCCATGTCTGCTACATTTAAACACCAAATAAATCTTCAAGATCAGACATTCTCAGTAAGAGCATGTACTGAGAATTCAGTTGTTGTTTGTTCGTGCTGTGTAAATACAGAAATCTTTTATAGCCAAATAGTGGGATACTGATAGTTCACTATTTTCAAACATGTTTGCATTTCATGTCACTCTCATTTGACAGTGGGAAATATATAAACTTAAACATGCAGGCAAATTGCACAAACAACAATCTCCTGCCCCCAGTTGGAGAGTTGTTTGCAGGTGGAAAAGAACCAGTCTCTTTCCTCATTCGTCCAAATGCAACATTGACAACTAAAAAATCCTTGTTTTCTACATTTTTGTAATGTTGGTGCTTTCAGAACATAATATTTCTTTCTGTAATGATGCAAGAAAGGTAACCTTATTTTTTTGAAAAACTTAACAGAAGCGAGAAGTTAGGGAGATGTGTATTTGTGTAACCCTCCCTGATCGCTTACAGTTGCATTTAAAGAGAGTTCATAGGTCATAATTTTCTAGTGTGAGGCACAGAATGGGAGGGGGGGGGAAGGGAACGTGTATGTTCAAAGAAGGAAGGTTTCATGTATATAGTAAATGTATGTATGGAAAAGTGAGATTAATTCTTGAAAGGGTATCAGTTATATAAGGGCCTGTTTATATGAATCACATTTTGTTTTTGGAGTCTTGTGGCTTCAGCAAAGAAGTTTTATGTGTTTACATTTTAGGAGGGGGGCATGCACAACACAGGCATGACTTTAAATGACTTTGGATATCATAATGGTCCTGTCGCACTGATCGATAGACATGTTCTCCACTTGCCTCAGGGCTGTTCTAGCTGCCGTCGTCTTGAAGAGGCGAGTACAGGGGTAGGAAGACCATTGCCCACTCCCAGAGCAGACTCTAAAAGAACAAAGAATTTGATTGCTCCATGCAAGGAATCACCTGTACTCGTAAACATTTTTTTGTTTGCAAAATCACAATTTCTTTGTCCATTTCTCAGTACAGTTGCTGAGTGGCTGCCATAATTAAAACAGGAGTACGGGGCAGCTGGTCGTCCTGTCCATGAAAAGAATGGAAGTGAACCTTTCCTATTCACCTAATTCCCTGTTCAGATACAATAAAAACCAAATTCTAGTGATATGATAGAAGAAGATAGAGAGGCAAGTATCTACTTTTCCACGAGATCCAAATGGACTTGTAATTTGTACAACATGTTATTTTGCACAGCATTAGAAATCCCTGTTGAGATTTGTGCCTTTGATTTTTGCAATTTCTGCAATTTACTTTTACAACTCCTACCCGACAGCTGCAGGAAAGGTATTTTTTTTTTTAATTATACGACTAAAGCCATGGGTACATTATAAAACTTGGGTGCCTTGTTTGCCAAATAATCTGGCTTATTGACCTGACTGTAAAGATGCTGCTTGCATTTAAATCTGTGTGTGATTTATCCAGACTCTGAAGAGAAATTAAAATGAGGGTGGTCTTTTATTTCCATTCCAAAATACACCAGATACAGTTCCTGCTGCAGAATGCAAGGGTCAATATTCCCAACTCCTTTATCTTTGCTTTTTTTTTTGTTCAATACAGCAACCTATCTGTTGCAGTTTATATTTTTATAATTCATTAAAATGAGATCCCTAGATGTGTTTTGCATCACTTAAGTTTGAACTTTGCTACACTGCTACAGAGTGTGGCTCAGCACTGCACTTGGCTCAATGTGCTGACCGTTTCTGTTGCTGGGCTGGGGAGAGACTGGCTTTGTTTTTGCTTGCAATGTTTCCCTGACCCTTTTCAGAGGCTACAATTTCATATACCATCTCCAAAAACAGTTTATGGCTGCAGCCAAGCACTGAAATTACCACCTTTTTATGTTACTCTGTGTCATGGATGCCAGATTATCTGAGGAAAACCAGGACTTGTTACCATTGCACTTTATTTTTTAAGAAACAAGAACGATCTGATCATTTTATGTTGGGCTTAAATATTCAACTTCCATCATTCTTTATGAAGTTGGGTGCCAAGTGTGGTGATGCAAGACCAGTATGGAGTCCCCAAAGTATGATTTTCCAAACTGCATGTAAAGGCAATAAATAAATTGTTATGCAGTTCATGTAGAAGGCACTGTTATATAGTTAACTCTTTTATCATCTCTTCACTCTTAAATCTCTTCTCTCTTAAAACTGATTGCTTCTCAGTTAGCTGGAGTCTGTATCCCTGCCATAGCTTGAAATGCAAATGCAGTGAAGTAGTCTAATACTTGGCCTTTTTGATTCGTCATGTTTTTTATATTTTCTCAGCCCCAACCCAATTCTGTCCCTCTTCCTATTCAACTGAACTCTGAAACCAGTTGGAGCCCTGCCATTAATGCATGGTGAGTTTGCACAGTTCACTCCCTAAAGGATATTTCTGCAGTGTTGGTAAAAGGATGACATGTGACTAACTGGGGAACAATGTCACAAGCTACATTATCCAATATCTTTGCTAAAATGAAATGGTACAGAAATAAAGACAGATGCCCCAAAAGTCATTGTTTAAATTCTTTCTAATCTTCTATAAAATGTGCATTTTGTCTATTAGATTTAGTGGATTTTCGCAGACTGTTGACTGGTATCAGTATTACAAGCTGCAGGGGACACTAAGTCCAGATGAGTTGAATGTTTAAATATTTTTCCCTTTCCTGTAGAAGTGTTTTTGCAGCAACCCAGCTAGTTAGGGGAAGTTGTGGTGGGAGGGGAATCTTTATGTGTTGCATGTAGCTGGAATGTTGGAGATGCTAATGAGTAACTCACCCATTCCTTCCTTCTTCCCCCAGCCTGGCCCCCATGAGAGACTGCAGCATGCATAAACATTCTGCATCACTGTTTCATTATAACTTTTTTAAAGCAAAAAATGCACCAGTTTTAAACATTGGGGCCTGATGAAGGTTGCTTTCCTTCCCTGAGAACAATTCCTATTTTAAAATAATTTTGAATCATTTCTCTGTTATGTAGAACACTACAATTTCAACTTGATTGATTTAAATTAAAAATACAGAACATAACTACTAATAAGCATGCCTTTCAAAGCAGTCTCAGGGTAAATCACACACTGAGAATCTTCAGAATTCAGTTCTGCAGAAGTTTCAATTTGCTGTCTGCATCTTTTTGTGTTCAACCAGTGCAACAAGGCAGTAATTTAGTGTCAAGCCATTTAAGGAATCTTTCCTTCTCCTTTCCTTTGGACCAAGTAAAATGAGATTAGGGTTTTATAAATATCCCACTTTACCACCCTTGAGCGTATTGGTTTGTTTAAGAGATTTCTTTTTTGGTATCAACAGTTGTACAGCTGCCCAGAACATTACCATAGCAACAGTTTCCTGTTTTAGAATAACACTTGAAATTAGAGGCTTGAACTGGGTATAGAGGGGCAGGCTCCCCTGTAAGGCTCAACCCTGTTCCTATTCGGACATCTGCACACTGTATGATGCAGCCTTGTGTATTTTGTGACTGTTGAGTGCTTTTGTGAGGTATATATTGCACCATCTTCTGGACAAATTGACAAAAGAAATGAACAGCCACTTCAATCTGTTTCCATTCCAGACCTTGTTGAGTGGATAATTTGTGGCAGCAGTTACACTATTTAACTGACCCATTAATAGGTAATATCCATTTATAAAAATGCAGACCGACTCAGAGCAGCTAAAATAAATCTTATTGCAGGCCCTGATGGGAGACTGTGTCTCTTAACTTTTACTTTTTTTTTCAAATCTAGGAACTGGAAATGGTTCATCTCTTTGCAGTTTGTCCCACATTTAACAAGACTTTATTTGACTTAATTCAGGGTTTTCTGAATCCTTCTACCCGGCTTGTTTTCATCATGCATTTGTGTCTTGAAGATTTGTATCTACATGAGAAAGCTGCGTTACCTGTAGGTTTTATGCTACGCAATCTGATTTTTAAAACCAATTCATGAAACAATAGTTGAAAACCCACGAGGGGGCAGTCAGTGGCATTAAGCCTTTTAAGGCTTCAAGCTTCACCATCAATTTTGCTTTGAAATGTGATGTTGAGTTTGAAGCTTATCTATTTGTGGTTACTATAAAGCTTAGGGGAAGGAAGGGCAAGACCCTTAAATAGACTGACTTGATAAGTGAGTCCTGGGCTCCACACGAAACTAATTTGGGCTGAATTTGGAGGGGGAGGTTGTATGGGGAAGGGTGTGTTATCTGCTATGGGACCCTGCATGAGATTACCCAACCAGAATTCTTCAAATTGAAGAAAACCAACTTTCTCTGTCTCCCTTTGTAACAGGTTTACAATGATCCATGCCTCTCTGAAGTTGGGTCTAATCGAGGATGGTTTGTTAATACAGGCATGAGCTGTAAGGAACTAAGGTCTGAAATAGATCAAATTGGAATGGGATCTAAACCAAAGTCATTTAAAGCATTGTGTTTGAAGGTTCGCTTCCCCCCGCCCCTCTTGTACAAGCTACGATACATGTTTAAAACACAAGTTAAGTTACCCTTTTTTCTATTATACAATTATTATTTTTAAAAGCCTTTGCAGCAGGTTTGCTTCCTCGTGTAAAAGGGAAGTTGTACTTTCCAAGACAGAATTAGAGAGGGCTTTGGGTGGGAGGGAGGGGGGTGGGAGGGGGTGGAGTTTGAAGTATGAGAGAATAGAGGAATGTTAAAGCAGTGTTGAAATGTTTCAAGTCTGTAGCAGCTGAGTTTGCGCTGCTGGACGAGGGATGAGGGGTGGGGGAGAATTTTAATAGCCAAACTTCGGAATATGCCTGTTCCTTAAATATTTTGCTTTTTCAAGGCCAGAACAGACTCATTCCTGGTTTCTAAAGTTTCACTTCACGTTCTTTTGGCACCTTGACAATTAAACATGCTTGAACATATCCATTTTTGGGAGCACATTAACTGTGGGGCCCTTCACTTCTGTTGCACACAACTTTACATCCTGGTTAATGGATCAAAGGTTGTTTAGTTTTGGCATAGCCATTAATGTATTTCTCGGACCAGGAATCCTGGTGTCATTTGGACAGATGCAGTCCTGAATAAAATTTTTGTTTATATTGAGTAGTTATCTCATTTGCGAAGCATCAGAAAGATCGTTTTCATAACGTTTCAGAATGTCCCTGGTTTGATATCTGGGCTAGGCTGATATCTGTGGGGTAGCAGTTCCTCAGGAGATGAAATCCAACTGTTTTCCCATTCTTGAGAGCAACTATTCCCCTAGTCCTGGAGACTATGCATGGATATTTGGGTCAGAATGGAAATGCCCTTGGCTTGTGCCAATTGTCTCATTCAACTGATGTGTCAACATTGCTGTGTCAGTTTTCTGATGGAGCAGACAGATTGCTTTAATTGGCTCTTCTGGGAGAGATAAGGAGAAAATGGACACTGCACCAGTTCTGGGGTCACATCCTGAATGAACTACTTTCATGCAGCTGCACTGTGGGAGAAATTGGATTTGGATTCCAAAAGCCCCTTTTGTGCAGTGAAGGTTTGTTTATATTCTTCACACCTATACAAAAAGCACTGTGCTCATGTGATTAAACACACAGTAACACAATATGATTTCTTCCCCCATTCTCTTGAATCCAGAATTTGACCCAATCATTATCTCATTTACTAAACTTCAATTGAAAGAAGTCTACCCCAGAGTGAAGTTTCTAAAGGAACCAGGAATCTCTGCTCTGGTGTAAAGTTAGGACATCACTTTGTGTTCTGTCTGATGCCAGGAAAATAATTTTCTTACTAAACAATAAATATCCAAAAGTGCTTAAAAGTTTGTATTTTTTCAAAAACCTTCCCAAATGAATGGTTGTGTTATATCCTGTTCCTAAAATTTGTTGCTTAATATAGAAAGCACAGAAGTGGAGTCGGTCTTTTTTTTGATGTCAAGCCGAATTTCAGATGAATATTGATTTTTGATCCAGTGGAAATGTACCACATCCTTCATGCACCCTCCTTCCTCCATTACTTCTGTTTCTCCTCATCTTGAAGCTGCAATGGTTCTAGAGTGTGTTATAGATCTTGATGCAGTGAACAGGGAAAGAGTGGATGCCAATACACACCATCAGATTTTCAAAAAACCCTCAAGCACTTTACTGAACATATTGCATTTTTATATAAAAGTGAAAACTATAGGGGAGGTATTGAAGACTCTGGGTGATTTGCAAGTTAAAAATCTGTAACATTTAACTGGTGTATAAAAAATATTTTAATTGTTATTGAATGGGATTGGGTGCTAAGTTCTGATACACAATGGGTGGGGGAAGATGCTAATGCTTCGGAATGCTGACAAGTATGGTTATGAAGGACAAGATGGGAAACCAGTCCATTGGTGTCAGTTTAAATATTGCAGAAGTATTCAAGAAAGTTGAGAGTTTGTAACAGTGTGGTCATCTGTTTAGGGAGATGTAAGTGCTGGAGATGGAACTCCCAAGAAAAGGAGGAACGCCTAAGAGTCAATGGCTAGAGACTTAAATGCAAACCAACTGAAGGATGGATGATGAAAGGGAAGATGCAGAAGGGCGATTAACCAGCATTGAGTGATTTTGAGTTTTTTAAAAAAGGAAACCACTGAAATATGATTGGATGGAAGATAAAGTGAAACTGCACAAATGATGCTGAGTGGAAGAGCCAGAACCCCAACAAATGTTTCTTTAAAATGCGTTACTTGGTAAAGTTTTTATGAATTGGGGTAAAGGCTCAGATTTTTGTTTTGCAGCATCCTTCCTACAATTGTATCTTCTACAATTTAGAGATCCTGAACCCAAGGGACTGTTTGGGAATCTTTTACACTTGTTTTGCAGTAGCCCTCCATCAGCATGTTTAATTTCCATGCCAAATGCTTATTATCTACATTATTACATCCAATTTAAATTTGTGTCGATAACACTTCCTTGTTTGTGCTAGGGGTGTTAAAACATCTCAACAGCTATCGATATTTCCCAAATAGATGAGTGTGATCCTTTCAACAGTAAGTATTTTGAAAGCTGTTATCTACACCACCTGGCAACACAGATCACCAAATCTATTGAATGCTTCATGCAGCACAAATTTACCACTTGATCCTTGCTTCAGCTTGATACAGAAATTACTTCCTCGCCTGATTCCAGTTGTTGTCCTACTTCTGCTTATTCCATAAATGAAAAAACCTTGGTGTGCCATACTGATCCAATGCAAACACTCTTCTACCTCTCCTCGGTTAGTTATATCAACTGGGCTGCCGGTGTGCGTACTGAACTGTCAGATTTGCTGTCTCTTGGATGAGACCTTATTGGGTAGGCAGAAGGAGCCTTAGTGCTATGTGTTTTTTTTTTTTTAAAAAAAAAACAGCACTATCTTGAAGAGCAGAAGAATTATCCCAGTGACCTGACCACTCCCTTAATCAACATTTCAGAAAAGATTTAAAAACTCAAAGGACTGTGGATTCTGTAAATCAGAAACAAACAGGAATTGCTGGAAAAGCTCAGCAGGTCTGGCAGCGTCTGTGGGGAGACATCAGTTAATGTTTTGGGTCGAGTGACCTCGGAAGGGTCACTCTACCAAACTGATTTCTCTCTACCTGGACCTGTTGAGCTTTTACAGCAATTTCTGTTTTTGTTACAGAAGATTATTTGGTTATTAACCGGTTGCCATTTGTGAGTGTTTGCTGAGCCTATTGGATGGTATGTTTCCTGCAGTATAACATGCACCTCATTGGCTGTAAAGTGCTTTGAGACCTGGTGATTGTGCATTCTTTTTCCTCCATGAATGTGCCATGGAATGTCACCAGTCTTGATTCCAAGTTTGCTGATATCTGGCTAATGAGGTGGACTTCAATTGACTCTGACATCATTGGGTTAGGAAGGAAAAAAATCACGAGTTCCTCTTTTCTATCCATTGGCCTTTATTTTCCCAAATCAACTTGTTCAGAGATGTTGTTACACATCTCTGGAACAGATGGGCTTGAACCCATCTGGTTCAGAGATAGGAACACTATTTAGAAAGTCGTTGTTAGGACTTGATTAGACTTTGTATCAAATAGCATTTCACCACTCATTGTTTAGATTCTTTGAGACCGATGGCTATTTTATTGGAGGGAATTCAGTGACTTTCGTGAGCAATAATGGCTGAATGGCCTTAAAAAGACTGGAGCAAAAGTCTATTTTGGAGGGCACACCTCCAATTTAATTGTAGGTATGGGAGGAAGGTGAATAACCATATTAGTACCAGTTGAAGTACTCTGTTTGGCTTCAGGCAGAAGGAACATGTGTGGCTTGAGTAAAATGTTCTTTTCCATCTTGCCACAGAGACTGCTCTTAGACTGCTGATTAGAGGGACTCCAAGTAGCTAACTTGCAGGCTGAGTGGAGACCTACTTCCCTTGAGCCTTCAAAACGGAGATCGGACTTTCCAGATTTGTTTTTACCATGAGAAAATGGAGCCATCTTAGAGTAGAGTTGGGAGGTTGGAATAGTGTCAAATTGAGTGGAGAAATATTTAGTGGGTGACAAACTAGTTGATCCCAGTTCTGTGCAAAATGTGAGTAGCCAGATGTGGAATGAATGTTACTTTGTGAAAGGCCAGTGTAATATGAGACTGGAACATATTTCAGCAGTAACCTTTTTGTTCTGCCAAGAGAGAATTCCTGTGGTGATTGAAAACTGCTGCTTAATAGGTTTGTTTCATTTTAAATATTTATCCTTCATATGATACATAAGACTGTAAGGAAAGTGACATTCCTTGAACTATTTATCCGAACAGACTAGAATAGCCAGGATATTTGCAATTCCCAGATTGGGGAAACACTAAGGCAGGTTTCTGATACCTCCAAGCATAAGAGACATGCTACTGCCACCTCTCATGCTGGCATGTAGCTTTCAGATTCTGTGGGTCATCTTTTTGGATTCCTCCACGTTCAGTTTTAATTCCTAATCCTGTCTATTAATTTTGTTCAAATTCATGTTCAAGTATTAACATGCAGATTTTTAATCTAAGAATGACAAGTCCTTGTACAACGGAAAGCATTATCACTTTAAAATTGATGACAGTTTGCTAGTGTACTGGCTCAAATGAGAGATTTGTGCATATGGAGACATGTAGCAAGCTATTGTGCCAGAGCAGCAGAAAAGAATGGGAGTGGTGGAACCAGTCTAGATGTTGAGATTGGAGTTCAAGACCAGACGTACTGCAGAACGTGACCAACTTTGTCACCTATTTGTACCTCCAAGGGAGCAGCCTGGCTGAATGAGAGGTGGAGATTGTCCGTGCTGCCTGGTGACCTGTAATTGGTGGCCTTTTGCTTTAACAATACTGTCATTCCCTTGCCCTCTTCAGACACTCTTTGCTCTTTAAGATTTAATTTTTGACATTCCAAATTAAGCAATAAGATGATCAGATCACTGTATGAAGGTGATCACGATAACCTTTTTAGCTACAGCTGGTTTTTGTTGTGAAACGTTACATCTGCAAAAGTGTAGTTGGCTGTGAAAAGATGGTAAAACGTGATTCCATCTCTCTCACTGAAGAGCTGCTTGCACTTGCCGTTGAGTTCTTTTATCCACACTTCTATTAGGGGAAACTGTAATATGTTATACAGGCCAGAGAAGATCTGTGCAGCCCCAACCACCTGATTTTTTTTTTTTTTTTGTTTTGTGCGTAAGTCCACGATTTGTAGCTGGTTTCAACTGGGTGGCTTTTGGAGTTTTACTTGGAATGAGAGAAGTCAGCAAAGGTCCTTGTTGACTGCACACACAAGCCTTGTGTTAATTGTAGGTATTGCCCTGTTGATCATATCACCCACTGAAGAAATATGATCCCGGAGAGCAGCTCAACAATCCTTCCTTCACCTTGTTCCCGCTACCTTGTTATAGACTTTGTAAGGATTGATAACTTTTAAAATAAATTCAAAAATTCTATTGACTAAACACCATTTTTGTAACCACATAATTTTTAACACACAAAGTCCACCGTTCTCTATATATTACGTTATCCTTTTACTCAACATTCAGTTTTCCCAGAATCAGTCCATAGGGATTCTTTGCTTCAGAGGGTTTACTTCCTTAGAAGGTGAATAACTATATCCACACAAGTTGCAGAACTCTGCTGAGTACCATATGAATATGCATGTTTCCTACTGAATGGCAGTGCAGGCTGAAGAAGCCAATCATGTTCTTGCTTCTCATGGTCTTCACTTTTCTCCCCTAGGTAACTTCTCATTCCATAACTGACCTTTATGGTGACAGCCAAGCTAGATGCATTTTTCAGTCTCATCTTAATGCCTGATGAATTTGGTCTTTTCAATTCAAGTACCAGCTTCTAGTGATTCAGACAGATTAACTTCTCCCCACTATTCAGAGTTATGTGAGGAAAATCTGTGACTCGATATCATAAAGGCTGCCTCTGCAACCTTCCCACCTTGATGGAAGCTTGAATCACGTGGCTCATGTATCCAGGTACAAGTACTGATTAACTATCCTTGACCGCTAAGCTTTCTTTTCCACCTTGAAACTAAGCTGACAGCTTAAAGTACAACTTTGCAATGCAACATTTTCAATGCCTTTCTTGGGATTTTGGCGACTAAGTCTATCAACTGTCAGCACACACGCATGCTGCTGTCATTGTCTCCTAGTGGAAACACACTGCACCTTCTTTCTAATAAAACTGTCAGGATCTCCTTTAATCTCTCCTTTGAGACAGCGTATATTATAAATTTAATCTTTAAATTGTATGTGAACCAATATCATCTTGTTTGTCCCCACTCAAACTGGCTGCCTCTAACATTCTAAACAAAGATCAA